GAGTTTTTTCTCAATTTCAAAAAAATTACACATCATTTCTTAAATTATTTCAATAAAATTAATTAATACATGTAATTGTTTGCTGACTTTTCCTAATTTAAAATGCATTTCAGAAAATTTGGAGTGTTTATTTTTATTCATTCATTTGCATAAGCAACTTTCAGTTCCAATTTTGTAAACTTTCATAACGGCGTAATTGTTAAATTGTCATTAGTGACTTATTACTTAATATCTACTTTTTTAAAATCTTATCCCGACCATAGTAATAAGCATCGTAAGTCCTTCTTAATTATAATTATCTTTCAATTAATTTTGATCATCTGGAATCATTTAAATAATAATTTGAGCGTTATTGAGTAGAGGTAGGGCCATGTAATTGTTGTAAGCATATTACATAAGCACCCGAGTAATTAATTTCCAACTTCTTAATTACAGGCAGTTTATATCGTTTATGAACGCAAAATATTAAAGCAAAATAAATGGTTCAAAAAAGCTGTGACACCGCTTATTTTTTATTTCCTACCGATTACAGTTATAGATATTCCAATTGCAGGTATGTTACTGTAATGAATTCGATAACTTCTATAATAAATAAATGAAATAATCAATTAAATTAAATAATTTTGTATTAAATAAAAAAATTTTTATAATTTTTATAATATTTTTGTAATAATTTTTATAATATATAATTTTTATAATATTTTGAGCTTTTTTTTTTGTTTTTTAATTTGATATATGAAAATCTGTACGTAATGTAATGAATAAAGTAATAAATTTAATTATCGATTGAAGTGATTTATTCATAATAATATTTATATCATTTTGCAACTTTGACTAATTCTTTATTTATTTTAAACTAAATTTCACTGCTAATTTAATAGAACAAATAAATTTGAATAAATTTCTTGCATTTTATTGCAAATTATTAATTTCAACGCTTTCTTTAGCCTATTTGTGTTTTTTTCCTGATCAATTCGAATAATAAAAACAACCAATTTTAACAGATAAAAAACAACCATTAAAAAATTTAGTTCTAATAAATTAGTTAATTATTTCTTCGATTTCATTTTTTTTTTGCTGTTAAACTGGAATCAAATTTTACTAATACAAGAGTGAGTGCAAAGACTTTTGCAAGAAAAAAAATGAAACAAATTGACTCAAACTTTTTTAAAAAAATTTTTCAGCGACTGCTATTGCTTTATTCATTGGTATGGACTATAAAATTATAGGAATTATATCATTAATTAATAATATTTCCTTAAAGGTATGTTCTAATCATTTCTTCGTTTTCTTTTACTCTTTTAATAAATAATTGGAAAATGTAAAAAATTTCATTTCAATTCCATTGTTTTTTTTCAATTACATTCATTTCATTAATTACAGATTCGTACAACAGTGATGGTTTCATGTACAATTTTCGTTTTACCACCATTTCGTAAAGCTTTATTTAATTTATTGGGTATTAAACGTCATCAAAACATTGCTGTGATA